GGGCCCGGCTCTGAGGAGCGGCGGCCGCCGGGGCAGCGGCCCTGCGGAGGGCAGACCCGCGCGGTGCGGCAGCGTGTGGGGACCCGGGGCGGTAATGGGGCTCGATTCAGCAGGGAGGCTGCGGGAGGAAGGGGGCAGAGCAGCGGCGGGGGACAAGGGAAGCGGCCTGCAGCGTGCCGGCAGCCGGTGCAGACGGGAGGCGGGAGAGGAAGGGCGGCTGGTTGTTGCCTTTAGTTCCCCCTCGCAGGTTTTACGAACAGAACTTCAGCTTTCCCGGTTTCCGGTAGTGGCTCCCGTTTCTAGATCGGGTTGAATGATGTACTTTATGCCTCTTTGTTATCTCAGTCCTGTGTATGTCTAGAAAAAGAGAGAAGAATGGAGTACGGTGGAGAGCACATGGGAGGGAAGACTGGGGAGAAGGCAAGGGGCAACAGGTCTCTGAAACAGCAGTGGGCCAGCAGACATCGGTCGTCCAAAGACGATAACGCTCTGGTCAGCTCAAAGTTGTTTCCATCTTCTACTCCTGTGTTTCTGGTGCTTGGCTTCAGGTTTCTGAAGCCAGTAGTAAATTTATAGAGTGCAAACAACCATAAATTTGTTTTTAATTGAGTCTGGAGAGGTGACAGGTTAGGATTACTTAATGATGTCTGCAAATATAACTTTCAGGGTTCTTTGCATAATTTTTACTACCAAATGATATTCCTTCCGATCTATAAATCCTTTCCTAAAGACCACAAGCAGACAAGTATTTTTTCTATAATGGGACTGTATGCTGACTTGGACAGTTCTTTAACTTGACCCAGGTACAAATCTGTGAAGTGGCTGCAGTTTTAATCTACTCTTCTGCTAAAGCTCCTCTCCCACAGATAGACAAACCCCAGAGAAAAGCCCTTACACCTTGTGTTGAACTAGTCATTCCAGAATTCTGTCAGAATGTTAGGGGTGCCCAAAATAAACAGAAAATTGCAGATTTTTCCGACTCCTTAATTTTACTAGTTGTGTTTGAGAAAACAGCTTTCCCATCTCTATTTTTCCTTACTGTTAAAACTGTGATTTCAAACAAATGGGATACATTTCATGCGGAATGGAATTCCTCCTTCCTCTTCTGCTGTACATGCTAGCATGGCAAAGTAAAATGACTAAAAAAGCCTCCACAGGCTGATATCTTCACTTATTCTTGAAATAGCAAAACTGGGGCTTGTTTTTCACATATGTATTGTGCATTGATTGTTAGATGAAAGAATGTAAAGCACCTTTACAAAATCAGTGTGCATCAGTGTGGAGTTATTTTCTCATTCTATGCAGTAACAGTTGTAAATGCCATTCTATGCAGTTAAACCATCTTTGTCTTGCTTAGTATTAACATTGCAGTTAATCACCAATTCCCCTAAGACAGCTATCCCTCCTAGAGAATTACAAGGTAATTACCTCGCTTTGAATGCATTGTGTAACTTACTGCAACCAAGAATTCTTAAAGCATCTTTGTTAGGTACTGTCATTATTTTCTCCTAAGGAAGTGGTATGAAGAAGGCCTTGAATGCTGGCAGAGATGACAGATTTTAACTAATTTACTTACCTTTTTGCCTTTATTTTTGCATCACAAATGCTCAAGTATTTTGTTTTGGGTTTTTTCTTCTGTTGTAATCAAAGATGGCTGAGCAGTAAATACTAACACATGATTAGGATGAAGCCGGAAACACAGAAGCATCTTCAGTCTCTACGTTATTCCAGTTCCTTCAAAAAACCCACTGTGTAGCTCTTGCTCTTACATCTCTTAAAAGCTGCTGTCAAAATAGATGTTCTTCCCCAAAAAAAGAATCTCTCCTCTTCACTAGATGAATGAAATATCTTTACTTATAAAGTAAGGGTTTTTTGTAAATGTCTCTAAAAAAAGGCAACATAATTAATGGAATATTTTTTTATTAGGCAAATTATGCTGATTACCAGCAGTCAACTGTATTGCTGCAAAGCATTCTGACAGTTTGTCTGAATTATTTGTGTGCCTAGACTTTAAGCTCTTTGGGCAGGAACGATTCTCTCCCAGCGTAAGATAGATTAAACACAGTAAAATCCCTAAAAAATCCACTTCTGTCTCTACAGAAAAAATGCTGAGAAGTCTGAAAGGACTTGTCTACCATCCTCTAAAGGTAAGTCCTGTAATAGTGTGATGCTGCTTCCAGTATTTCAGCTGTCCTGTGAACTGGAATGACAATTTACAACTGTATAAAAGTGAGATTCTTCTTACATTCATCATCTAAAAACTTGGTGCCTCCTATAAGCTGGTTGTGTAAACTCCCATTATGGGCAAAGGAAAGAAGGACAACTTGTGTCTATTATTACTTCTACATTTCTCTCTGTCGGCTGGGGAGAGAGAGAGAACGTGCAAGCAAGCCTGGATAGTTGGCTTAAGTGAGACATTTGTTAGAAGACTAAAGTTTAGCATTCTGCAGTGTCCAGAATGCTGAAATTCTACATCTTCAATACAAGTGTTTCTTGGAAAATAGAGAATCTACTTGCTCTGCACTGCTGGAAAATACAAAGGAAGCAGCCATTTATACAGAACAGAACCACCAGCCTTTTACAAAGCCTGTGCTGCTGGTGGGAAGATAATTTTGCCAAAGATGGCTCAGGGCTTCAGGTGGGTGTAGTAATATTAGCTCTGCCACAACAACACAGCAACACTACGTTATCAGTAAAGCTTCCTTATATTATAAACAGCATAATGGTTCATGTTGCATATCTGGAATGATTTCCTAATGGTAAAGAATTTCAGTCATTTTGTTTGCTGTTGTCTTTTAAATACTTTTTTCACTAGTACATAGTGATATGCAGCCATTAAAGAGGATGACTGTATAACTACTTGTTTCCAGAGATGAGATTCTGGTTATACGGTACTGTACTTATGATGGCAGCCTTTATGAAATAAACAGTCTTTTCTAGAGACTAAGATATGTGGAAACATGTAGGAACAGCTCCACCTTATGGCACATGACTTTGTGATTAATCTCCATGTACCACGTGATAGTTTGCTGCCATTTCAGGGATCTGAGTTAGACTACTCTGTCCTTTGGCAGATGGAAACTTACTATAAAATCCACTCTACACTACTAGGATAAACTGTGTTAAAAGATGATGTGAAAACGTGAGAACCTTATGTACATGTTAGGATTTACTATGCAGAACTCTACAGTGAGCCAGAAAGGTATACGTTTCTGGCATTCTGCATGAAGCCAAGGGGATCAGTGATAAGCCACTGTCTTTGTTCAGGAGGAGGGATCAAGTGGCATATTGCTGCTATAAAGTCAGAATATATAATGCATTAGCAGTGGTATTCTAGGTCACTCAAAGGTATTCTTGTAGCCTGTTAAAAATGCAGACGCACTTCTGCATGAATTTTGTAAACAGAAATGCAGTAATTCATAAAATGCAAGCCTGTATCTCTCAAATTCAGGATCATAGAATGGTTTGAGTTGGAAGGACCTTAAAGATCATCTAGTTCCACCTGCCGTGCCGTGAGCAGGGACA